GTGTGTATGTATTAATGTATGTATATATATATATATATATATATATGTGCGTGCGCGTGTGTTTGTGTGTGTGTGTGCGTGTGTATGTGTGTGTGCGTGTGTATGTGTGTGTGTGTGTGTGTATGTATGTGTGTGTAAGTGTGTGCGTGCGTCTGAGTGTGGGTGTGTCTGTGCATTTATATTATAAATAAGCATATATATACATCGTTATATTCATACTTGTATAGATGCATATATATATATATATATATATATATGTGTGTGTGTGTGTGGTGTGTTGTGTGTATGTCTGTTATGCACGTACATACATTTAGACACAGATATAACACAATCACACCTGATCCGGTACGTTCGGATCGCTCCCTCGTTCCAACAGTAGTCGCACCATTTTCTCTTTTTCAAGCCAAACAGCCCAGTGCAGAGGCGTCCGTACTTCTCCTGTATGCTGTTAGGTAAAAAGAATTACATGTTTATTATGTGCTATCTGTATAAATATGCATAGGTATATGTAGATATATATATATATATATATATATATGTATGTATATATATATAACGATGTAGCATGACTCTGGGTGTGCCACCCAAAAACACAATTAGATGCATAAGCTAACTCATACACAGATATGCCTTCACGCACGATGTCATGCATATACATAGATACGCGCACATAGACGTAAAACATGTGAAACAAGCAGACACATACACATGCATACACATATATAGATATACGCACTCGGACATAAAACATGTGAAATAGGCAGTCACATACACAGATATACATACATACACAGACAGCCATGCATATATATATATATACGCACACACATACATACAACAAGTGAAATACGCACACGTACACGCACACGCACAGATAAGCATGCACGTTCGCAGTCATGCACCCACACATATATACATACGCACACATACACAACATATGTGCGCTAGGATATACCTCTTTGAAGGTTTGGTTAATGTCCTCGCCTGAGTCCAGTAGCCTCTCTACCTCTGAGGTTTTGAGCGACTTCACCGCCGCTATCAATGGTGCTCTGGACTTTGCTGTGTAGGATATGGCCATACTGCCACGCCTGCTCCTGTGTGGGTTAAGTCATAAACAGAAAAGTCCGGTATTGTTTTAAGGTTCAGATCTAGGTTATGGAGGAACTGACCAAAAACAGGAAAAGAAAAACCAGAATTGGGTGTCTTGGAGATTGGATTTTGGGTAGTTTTGTAGCCTAGGAGACCATGCGACACGCCAACTTTATAAGACATACCGCATTCAAAAAAGAAATCCATTTTTTTTACCAACAAGATTTCCCAACTTGGAGGAGTGCAGGGTAGAATGTACTGATGTTCGCATAAAAGCACTCATGAAGTGATGTACAAGTAGTAGAACAATTAAATAAAGCTTTCCACCCGTATGCAAGGATATAAACAATAAACAGTACAAAAACTTATTGAAGTATTCACACTGAAACATAATGAGCTATTTTATCCTCAAACTGCGTTATATAAAAAATACATAAATAATGCATATATATATATATATATATATATATATATATATATATATATATATATATATATATATATATATATATATATATATATATATATATATATATATATATATATATATATATATATATATATATATATATATA